AACCGTGTGGTAGATATAATTATAACTTGCACACACCACAAGGTTATCCGATACGAGCGTCTGTCTTGAGCGTGCTTCATCCGGGCTCAGAGCGTCTCGTTATAACTGTTAGAGGTTACGCGGTGACATCATCGGTTGAGAGGCTTTGGAAAAGTCGCTGCCCAGTGATGCACTAGCGACTCACGCTGTGCATAGTTCATTTCGCCAGGAACTTAACACACTCATTCGTCTTGGGCACCCTGTAAGAACACCTTAGGCTTAGGCTCTGCGGGGAATGCCTAAGTAAAATAATAAATACAATACGAAAGTACTGAAGTAGAAAAAATATAGTACCCATGAACGGTTTCGCTGCCGCACCGCCATTACATCATTCGCATAACCTCCATGACATCATTCACATAACCTCCATGACATCATTCGCATAACCTCCATGACATCATTTGCATAACCTCCATGACATCATTCACATAACCTCCATGACATCATTCACATAACCTCCACTGCTGCATGCTTTGTCAGCAGTACAACACTCCCTATGTGATGGATCAGATGTCGGATGACTTGTATCTCTGTTTCTCGGCTTTTCTTAGCTTAGAGAGCGTGTGTGGACAGGCGTACATTCACCGCGTTTTCACAAAGTGTGTCTTTACCATCGCCATTCGCCCGCAAATACAACTGCACTGTATAGAGTTTTCGAATTCATTCATCCTCACCTTTCTCCCCCCCCCCCCCCCCCCAATTACAATGTATATATTACACGTTTACTCTCCTCTCTCTATTCTCACGATGACCAGTGGCGAGTAAGAGATGGTGGTGTTGTTGTCGTCGTCGTCTTCTTCGTTATCGTCGGCATCGTCCCCCTCGTCGTCGTTGTTGTTGTTGTACTCAACCCCTGTTGCAGGCGTACTGCTGGGACGGAGTATGCCAGACATTCTTCAGCCAGTGCCAACGGATATGGGGAACAGGTACTGTTGTATTGTCATGAGTGCATGCATGCCGTACCAACACCGGGATCATATTAGAAGTAACCGAACAAACTGAGAACCTCCCCCCCCCCCCCCCGAAAAAAACAGGCCCTGCGCCAGCTCCTGAGGGGTGCTAGAGCCCTAGGGTGGCTGCAGGACCAATTATTTCCCCATACCCACTTTCAGTATTATGGGATGATGCATCTCTAGGTCTGTGCATCATATCTGTTTGTTTCAGGTAAACATTCCTCCAGCAACAGGTATGACAGCTGACGCAGCAGACCTCACTGGAGAAGAAGGACAGTTTAGGAGGGAGAGACCGTCTAGCGAGGAGTGTGTGAGGATAGCTCATTTTTTAATAGTACTACCAAAATGTAATAATCAATTGCACGCTGAGCAGTCCATGAACGCTGGAATTGGTCAAAACTGGTACGGCCATGGTCGCACCAGCTGTTTCTGCGAGAAAAACGGCGAATTAAGGCTTTGAAGTCAACGCAATAGACCAAGCCGCTAGCCTTACTCTAGCGTGTTGCGGCGTACATGAAAACAGGGGCGGATCCAGGAGGGGTTCCAGAGGTTCCGCAGAACCCCCTAAATTTCGTGAATATACTACTGGCAACCACATGCATGTTCATGTTTATGTACCAGCTATTCAGTCTTGACTATCCTGGAACCCTCCTGTAGAGATCGCTGGATCCGCCGCTGCCCACTTTATGGTGGGTCTGATCAACTCACCTCCCACCGCTTTAGGAGCTGCATCTGCGCCTTGATCCTAGAGGGTGGGGACCTTGGCGACCGTTCCTGCGGATGCGGCCGAGTCTCACGCGAACCGTGATTTGTTTTACTTATAAACTGTGCTTCGGCGTGTACAGATTGCCCGGGTGGTTCCGTTCGAGAATGCTTCACAAACGTCAACACGATGGGAACTGAGTTTGGCAACTGCGGTTTGAACTTTGCCACGGGAGCCTACACGGCGTGTGCAGCAGGGTGAGAACTAGGTCTTGCACGTGTGTGTGTGTGTATGTGTGTGTGTGTGTGTGTGTGTGTGGGTGTGTGTGGGTGTATGTATGTGTGTGTATGTGTGTGGAAGACCAAGCATTCAGCAAGGAACGGTTGTGTGAAGTTGTGTGTGTGTATGTGTGTGTACATGATTGTGTGTGTGTGTACATGTTTGTGCATATGCTTGCATGCATGCATGCATATGTGTGTGAGTGTATGTGCATGTGTGTGCATGTTAGGCCCTGGCGGATAATGCTCGAAAAGGTGGCAGATTCTGCTCGAAAAGCAGTGAAATTGGCAGAACCATACAAACCTTATGGCGTGCAGTTCCTCGAATTCTGCTCCATTTCTTTATCCACATACCAAACATGCATGAAACTTACCAGAAAAAGTACCGAATTCTGCCAATTTTTCTGCCGGCATTATCCGCCAAGGCCTAGTGCTTGTGTGTGCGTGCGTGCGTGTGGTCTATGCACATAATCAACGTTTGTCTTGCTGCATGCACAGAAATACCGTGTGTGGCAACAACATGTGTCTGGTGGATGGCGACAATGCACCGATAGTCAGCGGCAGTTTCAACTCCACCGCCAAGCTTGCTACGTTCACGCTCACCTTTCAAGACGGTAGCCTGCATAGATGCAGGTATGGCAGTCACGGTACTTCAGCCATGTACACATTGACAATGGCCATGGCCAAACCCATTGACCCAGTTGTATCAATACTTGGGATTTGTGCTACCCCAATCCCCCCCTGGGCCTCTGCGTTGTTATCCAACCTCTTAAGAGTTGTGTTCATCACTGTTGAGGCTTCCGATGGAAAATAAAAGAATGCTAAAAAGAAATTGCAATTGGCTTCTATGTAACAAACGTGCCAATGCCGTGTGTGCGTGCACACTGCACATCTCTCTCCTGCGGCAGAGGCGCTACATCTGGTCTCTAACGTGTCAATGTGGTGCGCATGTTGTTCTCTCTCTCTCTCTCTCTCTCTCTCTCTCTCTCTCTCTCTCTCTCTCTCACACACGCACACACACACACACACACACACACACACACACACATACACACACACACACTCTCTCTCTCTCTCTCTCTCTCTCTCTCTCTCTCTCTCTCTGTTCTCATGCTGCTGCAGGGCGCTGAGTCTCTTCTCACAGAGCAACAGTGATAACCCGTCGCTAGTGGCAGACGGTTCGCGGTGTGATCCGAGCGGTGTTAACCAAGATCTGGTGAGAGCATGCGCTCCGCTGCATGAATGCATGGCTGGCATGCTCAGACCAACATTGGCATGAATTGGTGTTTTGTGCTGTGTTTGTTTTGCCTGTAAAAGGCTTGAGGCATCAAAAAAATTATTCTAACCTTGGCATGGGCATGTATGACAAAGGGTCACAGACATACAAGAAGAAGAGGATGAGAAATTCAGTGTAACTCCGAGTTTCACGCACGAGGCAATCGTCAGACAACAGTAATGAATTCTACTAATGGATGCTACTAATGATGGCCTCGTGCTTCAAACATGGAGTTACAGCGGATTTTCATCCTCATCTTGTAAGTAGCTCTGCCCTTCGGCATTGATCACTCGGCTTTTGGACTGCCTGGAACATTTCTGTATTACACGAGCAGACATATAATTATTATGTAGACTGGAGGTTCCATTCGGATTGGCTCGCGCGCCGCCGCACTAGATAGCTAAATTCTACACACTGGTAATCTGCCCGTCGCAGAGGTGAACACTGTTGTCACGGTTACCAACATGGTGAAGTAGCCTGGTTAATGAGAACACCCTGTCTCTGCATGGTATGTGCAGTGACTTATAAATTAATAATGTTACACCGAGATTGAGTGCCGGAACTGATTCACCCAAAAGAGACGCATTTTCTCTTTTCTTCTGTTCGTTATCACATGGCATGTTGCTATGATGTTATCAAAGCCTCACGGTGAGAACCGCACATCTATTTCAAAGCACAATCATTGCTACAATTGATGCTGCAGTGATGTCTATGGCCGTGACCAAAGGGGCTTCCCCTAAACGGACTGCATTGTACAGTGTGTTGGGCCGCAGAGATTTCTTTCGGCCCTTGCCATCTCTCTCTCTCTCTCTCTCTCTCTCTCTCTCTCTCTCTCTCTCTCCCCCCCCCCCCTCTCTCTCTCTCTCTCTCTCTCTCTCTCTTCGCTAGATCTGTCACAGCCAGACCTGTGTTGACAAATCCACTATCACAACACCTTGTCCTCTCGCCGCTAACAACATGGAGTGCAATGGAACTGGGGTAAGACAGATACACACACACCACCGGCGTAGGACTTACTTACAGCATGGTCCCATCACTGTTAGAGTGGCCCGGTTCAAATTTGAGCCCTTCATGCTCCACTCTCAATTATTAGTTTCCACATTACGGGATGATGTGGTGACATCACTTCCACAGGATATGACTCATGCATGTGATCAGTGTATGATGTAATGGAATACAAAAAAAATATGATCAAATGGATGCAGATCATGGAAAAGAGGTCATGATATCACCTCTACAGAATATGGAACATGCATACACCGGTACATGCATGTGACCTGAGAATGATGGATGGGGATCATGGGAATGATGTCATGACATCAGACTAGGGGTGAAACGAAGGTGTCAAAAGTTCGAAGAACCTTTGGTTTCATTTGAAACGAACCTCCGTTTTCAATTCAAACGAAGGTCAACGCACGATGTCTTCATGCATGCATGCACTGATCTTCACTGTATGCATGTATACTGTACTGTAGTCTGTATAGTCAACTATTCGTGTTCCACTTGGTTTCTGGCGGGGGAAATGCCACTGCAAGTGCACAACGTAGGCAGCAGAATGCGCTTGAACAGGCAGCACTTTTGGTGCATGTACATCGACACTGTCCGTATTAAAAGTACAATTCGGTGTCACTTATCCGGCGTTCAGTCATCCGGCATGCCGGCAAGAGTTGATCACCCCAAGAGTGTGCAACTGCCTGCACAACCTCTATGCAGTGCTGCGACGGCAAAGTTTCACATCACGTGACATGGTTCAAAAGCTTACGCTGGCAAACAGTGCAAAGTGACCACAAGAGAGTTGAACCCAAAGCTGGGTTGCGTACAACCCTGTATCTGTATCATGCACAGAGTGCAAATAATGTGTACGGGTTCATCACGTGATGTGAAGTTCTTCCGTCGCAGAACCCATAGCTGGAGTTGCACACTCTTGGGGGTTATGTACTTTTGACGCCGGTTTTCCCACACCGTGCTGCCAGCTCACGTCTTGCAGTGTGTTCCATGCAAACCGTTTTTAACACTCTAAACATTGCCGTATTGTTATAGAGTGGGTGGATACTGATGTGCAAAACTAAATTAATTACCGGTACTACAGCTAAGAGGAGTGTCGCCGGGATATGAAAAAGAATGCTGAAATAAGGGTACATGCACTTGGACGTGTGCGACCATGTAGAATAATAATCTTGTTGGTGTGTGTATAATTTCTCAAAATGCGAAGACTCCACTGTAGCCATCCACTATATCCATACATCTTCACAACACTCTCCTAACGGTCTCTGGGCTACACCAATCACTAAAAGAAAAAGAGATATTTTAAAACTATTCGAATTTTCGGTCAAGGCCCATCTTCAGGAATGTAGTTACCGGCACTGCAGACAAGACAGAGATTATATAAGTGAATTCGAATAATTTTAATATCTCTTTTTCTTTTAGTGATTGGTGTAGCCCAGAGATCGTTTGGAGAGTGAAGATGTATGGTATGTGTATAATATTGGAGATAATTTAGCTTCGGTTATTTGGAACACTCACTTAACCAACAGGGCCCGGCCCCGGGGGTGTCGGATAACTGACACGCTACAGTAAGTTAATCGACACATTCAAAGGCAAGTGTTGGGTTTACTCACAAAATAAACCAAAGCTGAGACCCCGATTGCAGCCAGATCCGGGCGTTTCGCAAGCCACAGTCCAGCGAGAAAGACCAGCGTGATGACCGTGCACTGCCTTCAGTTCCACGTCCTGCCAACTTTTAACTTTCAATGGTTCAGAATGATGCGCGGCCGAAACGGAAAAGAAATTGCCATAGTGTGATACCTGGGTCAGGAGGGTCTGCGTCAAGCCAGAACTTTCCAAACCAGGAACAACACAGGTCGGCAGTGGGACAAGGCAATTCACGCGCTGTACAGGTATTCATTTGCTGTAATTCTGGGCTCAATAGTTATTCACCAATCTTCGGACAACAATGATAATGCTATTGCCATTGGTACGTCCCTAGGGTTCTAGCCAGAGAGGAGCGATAAAGGACGGGTGTGGTAATATTCAGCACTATAGATGGGGGGGGGGGGGGCGAAGATGAACTGGCACCATGATTAAAGCTGTGTTCACAACTGGCGCGTGTACGCGTCAAAACACGCGTTTGTGCGTACTTTTGCTGGCTTTCGGGGCACCATGCGTATGGAAGCACGCCGAAATGGAAGTTCCAGCATGTTGGAATTTTAAGCGCGTGTCAGGCGCGTACCAGCGTACATGCCAGTCACTTTGACTGGCGGGGTCAAAAATTAGTACTCGAAAGCGCCGCATGCCCTAAAATTTAAATGCGGATCGATTTGCCGTTTTTTGTGAAAGCCTGAGCGCGCGTTTGAGCACGCATGAACCGCAAGCGTACCGCGTCCACGCGCCAGTTGGGAACACAGCTTTACTAACCAGGAAAAACGCACATATAATCAACTTTCTTCTTTAAAGGGGAAGTCCGGTGAAAAATTTAAATTTCACAGTCCGTAGAGTTCGGGGCGCTGAGTCGAATGGTCTTTGTCCGAGGAGGCTGCGGCCTATGGTTCGTCAGATACGCCCAATCGAACATGTGCGGATTTGAGCGCGCCTCACCCAGATCCAGGTGATGACGTCACAGCGTGCAGCCAGGTGGCCACACCATCTAGATGTGTACAAAACGGCCATATTCGGAGCGCGTTCGATTGGGGAACCGTTTGTCGCAGCTTCTTCGGACCAACACCATTCGATTCAGTGTTACGAACACTGCGTACCCTGTGATTTTCAGCTCGGTAAACCTCGAGGTTATACCGTATTTTAGCCGTTTCCGAGTTGGACTTTTTCCGTCGACATGCACTGGCCTCTATCTACGGCTCTAGCAATGCGCTGCGTGCATGCTACCTGTACTAGTAGTAGTGTAGTCAACAAACTCATCACACACGGGGGTAGGCCTATAGGCTATACTAGGCTAGGTACAACAAGACTCGAGTCACAAGACTCAGAAAACTAGTCAACACACGGACTTGTCATGTACTACACTCGTATCAGTCGTGTAGTCAGAGAACGAGCGTTTCTCCTTGCCGGTGGTGGTTGTGCTTTGAGAAAGAAAATTTTAGTTTTCCGCTCCCGCCTCATTATTTTATGCTACAGCGATGAGTGCACAACCGTGACAAGTGACAAAACAGCGAACAGCTCCCGGACCTAGAACTTTCAGATCCCGTAGCGTTGCGAGCGAAGAGTCGTGCACGTAGTTCAAAGAGCCTGCACTGTTCTCCAGTTGAGTGTCCGAAATACGCCAAGTTCGCACCAAAACATCACCATGTGGCAGGTTACTGGAGTCTAAGCGAATCGGTATGGAACAACATTTAGTCTTAGAGCACTCGCATCACTCTTCTTCATTTTTGGCGACTCTGCTCTCCAGCGAGCTGATAATTATATCGGCTTCGTCTGCAATAGCTGCTGCTTCTTCATCAGTCGGAAACTCAGTAGCGCTCACTCTTGACCGGCCCGCGCGGCCATTTCTTCAGCTGAATACCGAGGTTCTCAGCCCCAGACCGAACTCATGAAGGTCAGCCATGGCTGCATCCTCACTCTCACAAGGAGTTACGTCTTCGGAGTCGCTTGCACCACCTACTATGGGTCGCCAAACCATTTGAAATAGCACTGACACTATTGCTTTCACGCACTCCTTTTGACCTAGCTGCACGCTATGACGTTGCGGAGGGTGTGGCGCGGCCGCATGACGTCATGGCGCAGCCCCCGAAACTCAGTTTTTCAAACGGAAATATCTCGAGAACGCTTTGTCGGGGACATGTGGGACCAACACCATTCGACTCAGCGGCCGAAACTTTACCAACCCTGAAATTTAAATTTTTCACCGGACTTCCCCTTTAAAGGGGAAGTTAAGGCAAAAAATAAAATTTCACCAGTTGTAGTCTTCGGGGTGCTGAGTCGAATGGTCTTGGTCCGAGGAAGCTGAGACGCTCCCTTCCTACTTGAATCCCAATCGAACTCGCGCACTTCCACCGAAACTGGGTGACTGCGCCCTACGAGATGGGGATTTGTATGCAAAATGTCACTAAAAGCGCCATTTCGTTCTTATAAAAGCACGGATGACCGCGATTGGCCCATATGTTGTAGTCTTTTGGACGCTGAGTCGACTGGTTTTGGTCCGAAAAGGCTGCGATGCAGCGTTCCTCCTTTATTCCCAATCGAACATGCTTGAACAAGCGGTCACGTGCTCCTGGGTGCCCAAATCACCTGGTCACCACGCCAGCAGGCGACAAATTTCACACCAAGGTTCAACTCGAGTGACAGGAGTGCATCCAAAAAAGGTCAAACAGGCTAGTAAGTTGTACCCTGCAGGCACGGTGACCAGGTGACTGGTGTACGCAGGAGCACGTGACCGCTTGTTCAACCATGTTCGATTGGGAATAAAGGAGGAACGCTGCATCGCAGCCTTTTCGGACCAAAACCAGTCGACTCAGCGTCCAAAAGACTACAACATATGGGCCAATCGCGGTCATCCGTGCTTTTATAAGAACGAAATGGCGCTTTTAGTGACATTTTGCATACAAATCCCCATCTAGTAGGGCGCAGTCACCCAGTTTCGGTGGAAGTGCGCGAGTTCGATTGGGATTCAAGTAGGAAGGGAGCGTCTCAGCTTCCTCGGACCAAGACCATTCGACTCAGCACCCCGAAGACTACAACTGGTGAAATTTTAATTTTTGCCTTAACTTCCCCTTTAAATAGCAAAGGAATGAAACACATAAAACTGCTTCCTACAACGTACAGTAGAACCTGGTTTAAACAACCACCTCACGGTGCAAGGAAAAGCGGTCGTTAAATCCAGGTGGTCTTTAGAACCAGGTCCCACAGTGTCTGTGTAGAACTGTCCGTGCATGGAAAACGGTCGTTAAGAGCAGGTGGTCGCTAAAACGAGAGGTCGCTTACACCAGGTTTTATGTAGTAGTAGTAGTAGAATTTATTATTAATATGTGACCCGTGATATTGACACGCTAGCCAGAAAGATTGGAGCGTAAACGCAGTTGTATGCACAGAGATCTGGAACGTTTCTCGCCAGGCCCATCCAAGCCAGGCAACAGTCAGCTCCTTCTACAGTCCATTTCAAAGCTATAGACGCGTACCTAGGCAAAAACCGTTATGCCAGCATCTATACCCCATAAAATCTGTGATCACTTTGTGCATACATTTTCTAGATTGGGTGTCTGTTATCCAATCGTTTAGCAACTATATGAGAGTAATTGTGGAGCGGTCCTGAGCAATATTCCGAAAACTATTCTCAAAAGGTTCCAGTCAAATTTGAAATATTTCAAAAACCCTACGCGTCTATAGTTTTGAAATGGACTGCAGTAGCACACTTGTCTTCACAGCCTGTATTATGTACCGCAACGTGAATCGTGCAGTATCCGCAGCATTTTTCCCACTAAGAAGACGCAGAAGATCAAGAGGAGCGCTATAAAATAGCGTCCTGGCTTTAATACAAATTTCATGCCGCAGGATTCTCATTCTATTCTAGTAGACTACAAACTTAACTGGGCTCCGCAGACTGTCCCCTGTAGGTGTGTGGCCGCCAGTCTGAGCACCAACATCCACTGTGACTGATATTTTCGCCGGGCGACGAAGACTAAAAAGCCAAGAGTGACGATCCTAGACAGAATCTTGTTGAATACTATCAAGAGTCCATAACCCCCCAAGAGTCCATAACCCCCGGGGGGTTATGGACTCTTGTCACTATGGCTAGCAAAAAAAACTTGGAATGCAAAGATCTGCACGTAGATCTACGCGTGCCACATGCACGCGCGTAGATTTACGCGCGTGTCATGTCAATGCAATGCATATCATGTGCAATGATCAAGGATATACGTATACCTACGTACACGTGACACATATACACGCGATCGATCGCGCGTCGCGCGACGTATGACGGTATGATCAAGGACAAGGGCGATTTTTTCGCAAGCAAAAGGTTTCTATCTCGTCTCTCTCGTCGCAGGCAGCGAAGCTTTCTCCTAGTTGTTGCTTGTGCTGCAAACAATGGACGTTGTGGACTTATCGCAATGTGCTGTGGCGTGCGTGGCTCAGGGTCGACAAAGGAAGTAGAGCCGTGCATCGCCTGCACTGAAGGAAACTACAAAAAAAAACTATAATGTGTTGGCTCGCGATATGAAGGAAGATAGATGTCCGGTGATCGAAAGAAGGTAAGATTAGAAAGAAGGGAAAGCAAAAAATATGGAACGCTTCACGAATTTGCGTGTCATCCTTGCGCAGGGGCCATGCTAATCTTCTCTGTATCGTTCCAATTTTAGTATATGTACAACCGAAGTTATACAATACCGATATGGTGGATTTTTTTATATATACTACTGCAGTGGCATCCGGTGGAAGTGATGACAAAACTTTCTATATTTTGTTTTTAGAGCGGATAGAGTCAAAAGCCTGCACGAATTCGGTTGAGCAACGTTTCGAACCAATTTCCCCTGAAATTTGCCACTTTTGGGCCAATTCTTGAATCCATTGTCATGCTGGCTATCACCATGGTAACCGATACTAATATTATAGTGTGTGCCCTTCATGTCGAACTGAGTCAGCCTAACTAACTATTACTTGCAATCATACTGGATCTTACGTGATCTTTGGCAGCTTAGAGGAATTTTTGAACGCACACTCGTTGCCATTGGTGACCGGCCATCCGAGTACTCCGATTTAGGGGCGGTCGGTCACGTATGGGATTGCAGGATCGCGGATGACCAAGTCTTCCAGGCAGCTCGTTCCTAGTGTGCTGTGTGTGCAGCACATGCAGTTAGTATGATGTGATTTCCGCGCTTGCTGGCACTGAGCTGGATATTTGGGGGTTGTGACAAACTGGCCATGTTCTCCTGGCGTACTGTGTGCGCACATGTGCAGTGCTGCTTACATGTAGCGAAATCCGATCGCGTGCGTCGAGTTTGCGCCCTGCACCAGTTCACATCACAGTGTTCGCAGGTCTGCACTGCGCCCGGCGTATACTTGACTCACGTGATGGGATTACATTGACGCAGCATACGCTCTGCCTTCGCGGCGGCGGCGGCGGCATGTGAGTGTGATTTGCACATTGATTGAGTGCGTTCTTCTGGCTGTGATGTGTGTGCGTGTGTGTACGTGTGTACGTGTGTGTGTACGTGTGTGTGTCCTGCAGGTATGCACAAGTGCTGGCTCATGCGCCTATAGTACGTATTATTATATAGAGCGGGTGTTCACACATCTTTGTCATGTGACTACAAATATTCCAGCACATGACAGCACACGGCCATCATTTTATGTGCAAACAATCCTCATGAACACAACGTTGGCGTGGTGAGGCCCAAGCCAGGCATACTATGATAATTCTGAACACGACAAGATCTTGTTGTGAACTAGCATGGTAGTGTAGCAAGAAGGACGCATGACTCCATAAGTGTGTGTGATCCGCAGTAGCCTAATCGGTAGGGCACTGTCCAGGAAAGATGGGTGCTGGGTTCGAATCCCGCTTTTTGGATCCTTTTTTTGCAATGGTAGTGGGCTTGGAGCTGGCGTAACCATGGCAATGACTGCCTATCTTGCCACGGATATGCTTTAGCCTTTGTGTGCGTGCGGGTGTGGGGTGGGTGTGTTTAGGCATGTGCGTGTATGGTACATGTATATGGTGTGGGTGAGTGTGTGTTCGTGTACAGTTTTTCACGCATGTGCTCATCTCAGTGATGACTTCTATGATGTTGATGCATGACCCACATTGTGCCACAATTTGAACTTTGTACCTCTGCCCTTTAGTTGTACAGTTTGGAAGTGACACCACTAAAGGGACTGATACTGATGTCATACAGACACCAGCAAGGACACTTCCGTTGAGAGATAATATTGCTCCACGCCTCTAGACAGCTGTTTCGCTCCCTGTCGGAGCTCATCAGTAGAGGATAATAATGATGATAATGGAGGAATGATCATTCTTATACACCAGAAATGGCGCAAATGCGCGCTTTCCACATATATCAATGGCATATGCAAGCTGCTAAAATGGTAAAGTGTGAGAACAGCGATATCGCTGTTCTCACACTTTACCATTTTAGCAGCTTGCATATGCCATTGATATATGTGGAAAGCGCGCATTTGCGCCATTTCTGGTGTATAAGAATGATCATTCCTCCATTATCATCATTATTATCCTCTACTGATGAGCTCCGACAGGGAGCGAAACAGCTGTCTAGAGGCGTGGAGCAATATTATCTCTCAACGGAAGTGTCCTTGCTGGTGTCTGTATGGTTCGGCTGAAGAGCGCGTGGTTGTGATGAGTTGGGAATGCAATGAATTGAAAATATGGCCGAAAGCTCTGTTTCAATATTTTGATACTGATGTCGAATTCTTTATTCTCACGATGGCATGTTGTATCGTACACTGTCTCTCGCTTTCAATAAAGGTCACAGTGCCTGTGTCTGTCTGTCTCCAATCTCACACAGCTCCTGCACCATCTCCTCCAAGCACAAGTGAGTAACCCATCCATGCGTACATGTGTGTACACTAGTCGAGTTTTTTTTTTGTTTTATTCAAAGCCCCATTTATTAGTGAATAATAGCAAGAAGGTACAAGAGAAGAGCTACAATGTTGAGAGAAAAGGGAAACCAAGGAGGAGTCCAGGTGGAAAGATAAGAGCATTGAAAGGATCGGTCACGCAATACGGTTTTTTAATTCCCATCGTGGATAGGATAATTATTATTCAATTGATATCCCTACGCAAGAAAAATGTGTGTACACTAGTAGTGTGACTAGTATGTGGTCCAGTGTGGGAATGTTGCTGTATTCTCTGATGGCCAGGCAGGTGTACTAACTTACTAAACTGGGCCGGAAGAAATGCAAACCGACAAATTGCCCCTGCTGATTACAATACGACCGTGACGATGCATTTTTTGGTTTGTATCAGCTTTCATGTACTAGTATTTCAATGCAGCGTGGACATTCATTCGTGCACATATTAGTATCATCAGCACATCCCATTTTATATGTCCATTCGTTTGAGCTAAGTGCGTTGAGAAGGAACTCAAACGCCGCAATGTCATGTGAGAAGCTAGCTAATTGCCATGGCAATGGGCCGGGCTAGTTGGATTTTTCCTGATCACCTGCATGGCCAGGCTTGAGGAACACGTGCTTGCCCCATGTTGCAGCTCTCAGCTGGTAGGGCTTTCTGCCCTGTGTAGTTCAAGAAGTATGTGCATTGCTTTCTAATGTAGCTTCTGTTTGTTCTCTATGCGGTATGCAGCTGCACCGACAACCGTGCCGAGTAAGTTATACGTGCACAATTGTGTGTATGTGTGTACGTGGGGTGTGTGTATGTGGGTGTGTACGTGTGTGTGTGTGGGGGGGGGGGGGGGAGGGTTTTTTTTTACTATGTTCACATTCCCAGCTCGAAAATAATAAAGAAAGACAATGATACTGAGACAAGGACGAACGTGACAACTATTGAGCAGAGTGCGTGGGGGGTGAGTGTGTGTGTGTGTTTATGTGAGCGTGTGTGTGTGTGTTAATGTGAGCGTGTGTGTGTATGCGTGTGTTTCTGTGTGTGTGTGTGTGTTGGGGGGGGGGGGTACGTGGGTGTATACATGAGTGGGTGCATGCGTGCGTGGGTGTATCTGTTATTGTTTTTTGTCTCCGACTCTATGTCATGAATCAAGTAGTCACGTAATACTTTGTTGTTATGCTGGTCGTGTGTTCTATGTGCTCCGTGTGTTCCATGATTGTGTTCTGCATGTTCCATGTAGACCTTGTGGCGGTTGAGAATGTTACCCAGGCACCATCATGCCCAGCATTGTACAACACCTCTATCCCTCTAGAGCAGCGATGGGAATTGCTGTGAGTAGATGGCTCGTGTGTGCACGTGTGTTTCTATGGAGTGCTTCATGAGGCATGTTTTTGGGGGTAGGGGGTCACCGTACTGTTCAGAGTTCCAGAGTGTAGATGAGCCGCTTGTGGTGGTTTTCGTTTTGACATATTTCAGGCGATGGGAGTATGTGCATACTCACAGGAAGATTAATTCCCCCCCCCCCCCCTCCTCTCTCTCTCTCTCTCTCTCTCTCTCTCTCTCTCCCGCATAAGTACACACAGCCACATGTGCGCATGCACCCACGTACGTACAACCCTGCAGACCGCCACACATGCACCCAAGCACATCTGCGGCGTAAACCAGTGCTTCTGTCAGCCTGGTGATGTTGTTGTTGGTATTGATTACTCCGCCACACATGCCCCCCCCCCCCCCCACACACACACCCACCCATGCTCCTCTTAGCCTGCTGATGCTGCTTTAAAAAGTTGGTATTGATTTGTTTCGCTTGCCTGTCCCCCAGGTACACCTGCTGGACGGGTTTCTTCGCTCACTGGACGGACTTACGCGCCGCGTTCACCGCCTGCGCTAATGGCTACACGAGTGATGCAAGCGCGCTGAAGAACTGCCGGTGTCAGTATATAAACACCACCGCTCTGGCCGCCGCGCCCACGACAACAACAACCACTACTGCACCGTGACAGTCGTGCGCTAGCAACAACCGCTAGCTGCATGACGAATAGTGTCGGCTGACGGCCATGGGGACCATGCATGTCATAGTGTTTCCACAGCCTCCCGAACGTGGTGGCCAAGGTCTAATGGTATCGTCCGCACGCTGAAAGCTTCTGCTCTGTAACGTCCACATGCTGAAAGTTTATGCTCTATAAAGTCCACGCGCTGAAAGCTTATGTTCTGTTCTATTCACACGCTGAAAGCTTCTGCTCTTCACAGCCTCGTGCAAGTCGTTGCCGCACAGTTGTAAACTGGTACTTGTGCATGCTGTCAAACACACCCGATGCGCTCACTGAGCGCAAGGTGAACGTAACACATTACGCTGACGTGGAAGTGTACGCCAGTCTTAGTTACATGGCTAATATTGGCTATGTGTACCGGGTATACTAGTATCAGTGCAGTGCAGGACAATGTTGTAGACGTGCATGCAGTTTGATCGCATTTTTCTCGCGCGGAAAGTTCGCGGCTGACCGCATTGCACTCCACTGCATATGTAGTTTTTTTTTTTTTACTATTTATTTTCCGAACGTATCAATACGCGAGAATGCACCTTCATTTGGTAAGTCTTGCACTCCTCCGCTGCACAGGCTGCAAGCTAGTACATTCCGTAGAATCTGTTTTGGATTTCTATGCTTGTGTCAGTTACAACCTTTGTTCTCGGTGGGCACATTTTTAGCTTTAGTGCACGCTTGTACGTACTGTATTTCGAAATGAGCAAGAGTGCATATCGTAAAACGACAAAGTTTGGTTTGGCAGCGGTGAAATCTATTATTATCTAAATTTGAACCAAGAGTACAAAATGTATTCTTGGTGTGTGAACACATGAGGTCAAGTGTGAATGGGAGCTGTAATGTACTCTTGTCTTGATGAGATATGCGTAGTGTACACATCAGGGGGTACTATACTAAGACACCTGTTTACATTGTACTTGTAGTACTACCTGGCACAGGCACACAACCCCTGGCCTGTGCATGTGTTGTGTGCCTCCTGTAGAGGGAATGTGCACACATGCATCATCAGCAGGAGGGATTATACTTCTGGTACCATCAAGAGTTCATATACTACAGTAGTACCTAAGGTCAAGTAACTACTGCTAAGAACCCACAGCTATACGAATTGTTCCTAAGAACGCAGCCAGATAGGATTGCTGAAAAATAAGAACGTCGTCGGCTAATCCCTTGGAAGCGCGACTCTACTGTACCAGAAAGATACTTGCGCTGGGATGGCATCATTCAACAGCTTGGCATCATTCAACAGCTTTCAAGGCTGAAGAACAACCATGTACAGTAGAAAAGACAGCGCCGTTCAAGTCTGATGCCTACACGCTATGCTCCTGTAGAACGAAGGGGTTAAACGGCGCTCACACTTCCCGTTTGCAACACAGGTGGCCGCTTTCTGGGACATTTTATGTCCTACACACGGGCTGGGTATCTCAATTGCCAGCTCCCGCCCCAGCACATACACACATGCACACACACACACATGCACACACACATACGCACATGACAAAAAGCACACAGGAAATTTTAGTAGGGCTGAGCGAGCCAGCAGGTCTAAAATAGAACGAAAGCGTTTTCTTAGTCTCAAGTATCAGGAGAGGGCAGACCATAAAAGAAGGCAGACGGAGGGGCAGCCGCTAGCCACAGAAAAAAACGGAATTCACATACATAGATAAGATTGCTCAATTACCACGAGAAATCGCGGTGGAGAAAAAACACACCAACAGAAGTTCAAACGGGCGCGGGTTTACAGGCAAAGTCACGGGCATGCAAAGCACACACACACACACACACATATAATCAGCGAGAAATCAACATGCAAGCACGCAACGGTTGAGTAACAACAATAGGCCGGCATAAGAAGAAAGGAGTAGAAAACGAAAAAAACGAACTTATGGGGCGGCGACGGCGGCTGCTGCAGTATGCCAAAGCATTGCAGGCAGGTGTGGATGATGAGGAATAATTATCCTAAACTGGCTAAAGCATTCGATGAGGACTCGATAAAGGGAAACTGAGCACATGGCACGGGCGCAAATCAACAGAGAGGCACAAATTTGGGGGATTTTCAGAAATTCACAGGAAAAACGGGCGCAAGAAAATCGAAGACAGTGCTGGATACTCGCACCATCTTCGAAATAATTTAAAAAAAGGGAAGAAGAATAACCTGGAACACAGTCAAGTGTGTGATGTAGGAAAGATGACTGAAGTACTGAAGTGACGAGCTGACTGGTGCATACGCAAAGAAGCCCAGGAAGATAAGCTCGTATCACTCCCAAAAACAAATAGGGACCGAAACTGAGAGACGACGGTGCGTGTGTGCGTATGTGTGTGTGTGAGAGCGAGAGAGAGAGGGTGGGCATAGTTACGCTCATGCACTGGAGTGGCAGGGGGCGACTACTATCGAGGAAGAGAAATGGACAGACAGACGAAGATGGAGAACACGTACCGCATATTGCTATGTGGTCGTGTGTATATGTGTGCACGCACGGGTACATACGTATGTTCGTGTACCTGCGCGGTGGGGGTGCCAGGAGAGAGCTATTGGTGCAGCGGTGTGCGACGTGGCGCAATTTGGTCACTCTAGAACTCAGACCACAATTTGTGGTCACCTTCTAGTGAATATGGAAAATCAGATGTGCGTTCAAGCGTAGCTAAGCGACAAACGCAAGGTGGATTCAGACAAAACACTGCAGTGAGCAATGGGGTCACCACCCATTTTTGGCACGTTTTGTCGTTTTTTTAGTCTTTGTAAACGTGTGGTATTGCACTAGCGCTCGTATTATAGAATGTTGTCCCGATAGTGGATACCAACTGATCAGTTCGTGGTCCGCAGAAACGGATTGCTGGGCTGAGGCTGTTGCGCCGAAACACAATTGTCCAGGGGCATGAACAAATCCATGCTTCCACCCGCACCGTCGGCGGGAGAGCCAGTTTGAAGAGCAGCAAAGGCACTCAAGGCATCAGGCAGCAAGTTTGGCGTTGCTGGTGTGTTCGCAGGACCCAAATGTTGCTGCAAGCACACATCACAGGAGAAGGCGAATATCACGCGCATTCAAGAACAATCGGTTCCTGAACAATGGAAATGCACTGTAGATGTGTAGAGCATCGCACTCCAAACAGGCACGTGAACAACGACGATACACGAGGGGTAGATCATTGTGCAGGTAATCAAATGAAACAAACTACACCAGTTCACTGACCTGTGCCTGCGGCAGAGCTATCTCTTGGAAGAATAGACTCATTGCCATCTGTAAAGCGAAGCACAATGAAAACAACACAAGCACACACACACACACACACACACACATAAGCGGGCAGGAAGCTAAAGCGAGACCACTGGTAACACAACGACACATATACCGGCCGGGTATGCTTCCAAAGAATCCAAATACAACACAGCGTAGACGACGTAACAAGGGCATCAGCACTTGCCTGGGAGTCCCAGTTAGCTGTTTGCAGAAGGCTCAGAGCCTGGTCAGGGGTACATCCAGCAGCTTGCACGACTTGGCTGATAATTATTTGCTGTTTTAGACGAAGCAACTCCTCTTGGCTGGGAGGCTGAGGTTCGGCAGTTGTGTGAGCTTCCATGGTTCGATTCAGAGAGCTCCTTGCTCTATCGTCGCACGGCCGAAAAAAAGGCAGTAACAGCTCTATGCTGCCTGCAATGAGGGTGCTTAGATGAAATTTATACAAGTACTCCAGAGCGAGGTGACCTTAGGTGTGCCGCCGACCAAACCAAGCCGAACGGAGAGGAAGGCAGCAGCGAGCCACCAAGAACACTCACGCAAAGGACCTTGCGAAGGCTTCTGCTAGCTGCTTTCCTGATCGGGCCTGGATGTGGCGCTGCACGTACAACTGCACGTTTTACATGCTCCATGAACTCTACGCATGACTCAACACTTTCAAGTGGTTTTCAAAACTCGCTTCACCTGAGAGTGAACTTAGCAAAATCACCTTGTTACCCATTGGTAATCTTGTGAACCAAGCGACATTTGCAAAATCTTGCCAAAAAGCCCTCAGCCACCGTCGTGAAAATCACAACTCGACTGATCGATGACTAGTCATCATTACGTCATTTATACGGTACATGTATGTGAAAATATTGCAAACAGCAAATCCCGGCCTTGCGCTTGTTGTACAGTGTTGTGTGTAGTTGTACGGGTTGGTGCAGCATTGCCATTGGATTCCTCGGCTCTGAATCTGATCTTCGTTGTTCACCAAGAAGACGTGTACACAGAACATGCAGAAAGTGTGAGTAAAGTGCAGGAGTACGGAATGTGTTCAGCCATTGGTGTGGACCAGAAGAGTACCTCACGTTGCCTGCTCCAGATGTAGCCCATCCTAGCAACCCTGAGTGTTTTTTTGGCTTGAGGAAATCCTCTCGAGCTGTCGTCTGGAAAGACTTCTGTGCAGAGGAGAATTGAAGACGAAAATAGAATTATTTTGTATTCTCAGTGTTCGTAAAGACATCTCAAGCAGTTATTTGGACTATGGGCGCAATTCCCACGGCGCTGCGGCGCGGGGAGCAGATTGGCGAGGACATTGAGCTAGGAGCAGATCCTGCAGGAGCTCGCGCTGCTGTAAATCCTTACCGCTACCCACCAAAGAACGGAGGTACGAAACCTTGCTCTTTTTTCAATTGTTTTCATTTTGGTCTTTGTTTTCCTGGCTGTCACGCACTGTACCACGTGGTCGATTGAAAACAAGAGCAGTAAAGCGGTGCAAATGACGCGATATCGTAGCTAAAAGTCTCCTGTGCCTGCCATTATTAGTACATGTACATTACAGTACATGGATGAATTTATTGTCATATTTTTGCATAGCAGTTTCTGCTATACAAAATCAAAATTGTGTAGAAGATTTTGATTAGAATTTTTCTTTGAAGTTTGGGTATTTAGTATTTGCCACATTGTCCTTGAGAGTGATGCCTGAAAACGCATTTGCAAAAAAAACGACTGAATCATACATGTGCACGCAGATTGAGAGTGTGTGCACCACATACACTGCACTGTATGCAGGGGCGTACATAGGGCGGTTCCCGGGATGCCCGGGAACCAGTAAAAACATTTCAATGTGGGTACGGAGAATGTTTTGATCCAGGCCCAGCGTGCAGTGCATGCATGCCTAGCGCCTAGCTACACTGTAGGCACCTGCATGCACTGATGCAGTCCGTCTGACGGTCCGACTCCGAGGGCGGTTGTAGGCCAGGTGTAAAAGTGCTGCTGGGGCATATTTGTGACACAGCGTAGATCTACTGAACTTTACTAACTGGGTGCGGGTGCAACAAAGTCCCTACATGCGATTCCTCGATCTCAGAGTCATTTTCTTTGCAGTTTGTTTCGACAAAGTAAGTTAGTTGGTTACGTTTTTGACTATGCTTTCGATTTGTGGAAAAGAAAGAAAAAAAGTCAGCATCCAGAAGGCCAGCGCTCTATTCAGAGCTATTTTTGAGCGGGAGGCAAAACGTGTAGCCAGTGACGAAGGACAAGCGATAGATGAGATTGCGGACGCACCTGACTTGCAAGTGGAGTCTGCAACGAGCATCACAGAGGACGGAATCGTCGGCGAAGCTCTAGAGCGACCGTTATTGGAAGCTGCTGGATCATCCAAGACTTTCTTCAGTGACATTGGAGTGTGTTGGAAAGGGTATTCTGAAAGTGTACTTCCACAGTGGAATCCCTGATTCCCCGAAAGTTGCCGGACATGGAAAAGATTTCCGTCATTGACAATCATTGTGCGCCACTGAAGGCGAAGGATTTCGTTTCCTGTGCGTGTCCAGACGGATGGCAAACAGCGCCGATTTCAACTATCCTGGTTAGAGGAGTTTCCCTGGGTAGTCTTTTGACGGGCGTGCCATGGTGGCTTCTGCTCGCCCTGCGTCATGTTACACCAGATGATTCGAAGCTTGGGCAGCTTTACCACATTTCTCTCGAGAATATAACCCGACTCAAGACTGCATGAAATTGTCCTGCTGAACAAAACAACCATAAAAATGCCTTGGCAAAGTTCAGTCTTTTTATATCAAAAATGCGTTGTTATGACATTATCCAGCAGTTTATGCAGGAACTCCGTCGGATACGTATAAGAGCACTTGCAATTGTGTGGAATGTTGGTTGATCAGTTGGCATGGGAACCACTCCTAGAGGCGAGCGGTGTACGCCCCTGGTATGCATGCTGCTAGGCAGCGCAGGCTAGGCATGGATAGTCTGTATTGCCATTTTCTGCAAGTCACGGTGACTTTTGAGTAGCAGTGCAGTCAACTTCGCTTATAACGACACTCGGCGGGGCATCAGAAAAGTGTCCTTATTCGCGAAGTGTCGTTATACCCGAAGTCTCATTATGTGTATTACAGTTGGATGGGACTTTGCTCTGGGCATGGAAAGTCTGTCGTTATTCGCGAATTGTCGTTATATCCGCAGTCGTTATAAGCGAAGTTGACTGTAGTTCGATTTTGCATCGCAAACTGCGATGCGATACAGGATAAATTCATCCCTGCAGTATCCAAAGGCAAATAGCCTTTTCGATTAATATAATAGTAATGTCGTCAATGTTCTATATGTAGGTAGATGAATCCATGCAAATGTCCAACGGGTCGTGATGTGCGTGTAGTCCCTGTGCTCCTTTGGGATCAGGATTCTTGAGCTCCTGTGATCGTTCCTGTGGCGGTGTATCCACCCACGTCCCACCTGGTCCTATCCCATTGCCATGGTTTAGAACCAATCCAATGCATTTTAATTATGGTACTGATCTTGTACTTGTGCATGTACCACCAAGCAACTGCAAGGAGGTACTGAGGGCTTGATGGCTGAGGGACCACACAGCCAAAACTTTATGTAGCCCCAGTACGGACATGTAGTCAATCTGTGCTTTGGTGTTCACCTGTGATTTGGGGGTTTCAGAGCTGCCAGAAGGTGATTGTTTTCTTCTGATCTTATCCATAAGCTTGACATGCTCCACTGGCCGTGAGAAAAAAAAGCTAACCTGGAAAAAAGCCATGGAGGGTTGGCATGTTCTGCGGTGAATTTCTGAACAGAAACAGATCAGATGGGTCAGAGAGCACAGACAGCTGTGCACTGAGCAGTGGTTGATGAGAAAGGTTCTGAACAGCATGTGTAAATAATTGGGTGGTAGACGAGAGAAGTTCTGAACAGCATGTGTAAATAATTAATTGGTCATGGACAGCACAGGGTGGTGTTTGTGAGGTACAGTTCCAATTCTACAAGCAGGTCACCAGCACATCCCTGACCAGCACCACTACCACCACCACTAGCAGCACCAACAACACCCCCACCAGCACCACTGCCACCACCACTAGCAGCACCAACAACACCCCCACCAGCACCACTGCCACCACCACTAGCAGCACCAACAACACCCCCACCAGCACCACTGCCACCACCACTAGCAGCACCAACAACACCCCCACCAGCACCACTAGCAGCACCAACAACACCCCCACCAGCACCACTAGCAGCACCAACAACAACCCCACCAGCACCACTGCCACCACCACTAGCAGCACCAACAACACCCCCACCAGCACCACTGCCACCACCACTAGCAGCACCAACAACACCCCCACCAGCACCAACAACAACCCCACCAGCACCACTAGCAGCACCAACAACAACCCCACCAGCACCACTGCCACCACCACTAGCAGCACCAACAACAACCCCACCAGCACCACTGCCA